GTGAAATCCGATCTCTAGAACTATGGAACACACCAACCACTCCGATTAGGAAGGAACTGCCTTTGAACTTGAATTGTCCAATTTCTTACACCTATTGATTTTGGATGGAGCCCAAAACTTGGGCAATATCATAATATGGTGGGAGGAGTCATTTGGTTACCTTTGAGTGAAATCGGATCTCCAGAACTACCCAAGACACCAACCACTCCAATCGGGAACGAACTGCCTTTGAACTTGAATTGTCCAATTTCTTACACCTATTGATTTCGGACCGAGCCCAAAACTTCGGCAACATCAAAATATGATGGGAGGTGTCATTTGGTTAAGTTTGAGTGAACTCCGATCTCTTGAACTACCCAAAACACCAACCACTCCAATTAGGAACGAACTGCCTTTGAGCTTGAATTGTCGGATTTCTTACACCTATTGATTTCGGAATGAGCCCAAAACTTGGGCAACATCAAAATAGGGTGGGAGGAGTCATTTGGTTCACTTTGAGGGAAATCCGACCTCTAGAACTACCCAAAACACCAACCACTCCAATTAGGAAAGAACTGCCATTGAACTTGAATTGTCCAATTTCTTACACCTATTGATTTCGGATCGAGCCCAAAACTTGGGCAACATCATAATATGGTGGGAGGAGTCATTTGATTAAGTTTGGGTGAAATCCGATCCCTAGAACTACCTAAAACACCAACCACTCCAATTAGGAACGAACTGCCATTGAACTTAAATTGTCCAATTTCTTACACCTATTGATTTCGGATCGAGCCCAAAACTCGGGCAACATCATAGTATGGTGGGAGGAGTCATTTTTTTAAGTTTGACTGAAATCCGATCTCTAGAACTACCCAAAACACCAACCACTCCAATTAGGAACGAACTGCCTTTGAACTTGAATTGTCCAATTTCTTACAACTATTGATTTCGGATCGAGCCCAAAACTTGGGCAACATCATAATATGGTGGGAGGAGTCATTTTTTTAAGTTTGACTGAAATCCGATCTCTAGAACTACCCAAAACACCAACCACTCCAATTAGGAACGACCTGCCTTTGAGCTTGAATTGTCGGATTTCTTACACCTATTGATTTCAGATCGAGCTCAAATCTTGGGCAACATCATAATATGGTGGGAGGAGTCATTTGGATAAGTTTGAGTG